GTGTGTGTGTGTGTGTGTGTGTGTGTGTGTGTGTGTGTGTGTGTGTGTGTTGGTGCTGATGGTAGTGGTGGTAGCAGCTGAAAAGAGAAGGTAGCAAAATATAAATAAATAAGGAGAAGGTAGCTTCCTTCTCAGTTGGAAGAATTCAAGTTCATGTCTAGACTGCTTCCTCATGTCTACTTCCCTCCTGCTGGGACCCACCCAGAGTGGCCTTAAGCACCTCCAAAATCTTGTCTTATTTTGGAGAAAACAGTTCTTTTTAAAAATTTTTTATTGGAGTATACTTGAATTACAATGTTGTATTAATTTCTGGTGTACAGCAAAGTGATTCAGATATAGATATAGATATATTCTTTTCCATTATGGTTTATCACAGGATTTTTTTTTTAAGTTTTCATGTAATCTTTTTTTAAAATTTCTTATTTATTTAATTAATTTTTTTATTTTTGGCTGCGTTGGGTCTTCGTTGCAGTGCGCGGGCTTCTCATCGCGGTGGCTTCTCTTATTGCGGAGCACAGACTCTAGGCTTCAGTAGTTGTGGCACTTGGGCTAAGTAGTTGTGGCTTGCAGGCTCTAGAGCGCAGGCTCACTACTTGTGGTGCATGGGCTTAGTTGCTCTGCAGCGTGTGGGATCTTCCCGGACCAGGGATCGAACCCGTGTCCCCTGCATTGGCAGGCGGATTCTCAACCACTGTGCCACGAGGGAAGCCCCTATCACAGGATATTGATTATAGTTCCCTGTGCTATAGTAGGACCACGTTGTTTAATGTATTTTATATATAGTAATTTCTATCTGCTAATCCCAAACTCCTAATTTATCCCTCCCCCGCTTTCCCCTTTGGTAACCATAAGTTTGTAGAGAAAACAGCTCTTAAACTGAGCCCAGCACAAATTCACCCCAGACTCAGCTGTCTCTCAGGCCCGAGTGGGCGAACACCCTCTTCCCCACTGCTGCTTCCATACCTGGGATTGGTGACGCCCTGTCCCACCCCTGTCCCTCCGCAGGCATTTTTGGCTTCCTGGCCTTTGGCTTTGTGCTCATCACCTTCAGCTGCCACTTCTACGACTTCTTCAACCAGGCTGAGTGGGAGCGCAGCTTCCGGGACTACGTGCTGTGAGTGGGGGGCTGGAGGCTTGGGGGCAGCAGTGGTGGGAGCTGGAGACCCTCCTCTGCTGTCCAGCAGGGGTCTGCCAGGTCCCTGCCTCAGATGACAAGAGAAACTGCCCATCTTGCTCTGGGCGCTTAAGCTGATAGCTGTTCTGTAATTTGCAAACATGGCAGACAGCCCTCTGGGTCCCTGCCCAGCTCCACCCTTCCCTTTCACCCCCAAGGCTCTCTGGCTGGTATGTTTGTAACTGTTAAGCCATCGTGTGTTTTGGCTTCTCCAACTGACTCTTGCATTGGCCACAGAAGTTGCTTGCTGTTTCTCATAGACTCTTTACAGAGCTTCTTGCAAATCCCTGCACAGAAGTAGTTACCTCTCTACCGTAGGTTAACAACCCATTAATGTTTTCTGGTTTTGCCTGTGCTTTTTTGTGTTACAATGAGGATGAATCTGTGAGGGTAACACATCTCAGCTGCTTAAAGAAGTGCAGTACCTACCGATACCAAGAATAGCAGTTAAAATGCTTATTAAAATCTGACTGCTTCAGACTCTTCCTTAAAGGCTCCAGCTTCCAGCGTGGGAAGCTTTATACCACACCGATGCCTACGTCCCTCCCCCAGAGATTTGATTTTATTGTCTGGGGTGTGGTCCAGACATCAGGAGTCATTAAAAGCTCCCAGGTAAAAAAAAAAAAAAAAAAAAAGCTCCCAGGTGACTCTAATGATCACCCAGGATTGCAAATCAGGGCTGTGGGCTTCCCTCTTTCTAAAGTGTTTGGATTGATCGTCTGGGCACCCACCCAGGAGACTTAGAAGGCCTCAACTGTGTACTACCCCTCACCACAGGTGCCAGGCCAATGTGACCATCGGGCTGCCCACCAAGAAACCCATCCCCGACTGTGAGATCAAGAATCGCCCTAGCCTCCTGGTGGAGAAGATCAACTTATTTGCCATGTTTGGAACCGGCATTGCCATGAGCACCTGGGTCTGGACCAAGGCCACGCTGCTCATCTGGAGGCGCACCTGGTGCAGGTGGGGTCAGCAGCAGCCTCTCCTGACCCTGCTGCCTTGTTCTCTCAGCCTCGGCGCTTGTTAGGCTTTGTCTGGTCTCAGGTGTCCCAGCACAGCCTTGAGCAGGTGTGATTTCTAAGGGCCTGCCCTGAGCAGCCGGAAGCGGCCTTTTCTGCGGCTCACCACTGCCCCCTGGTGACACCTCCTGTCCTTGGGAGGATGGGCCAAGGGCTGAGCCAGCTGCCGGTGTCTTCTAAGAGCGGAGTGATTTGAGAACGGAGCGCAGGAGCCCTGCGTTCTAGGCCCCCTTTTTGGCACAGAAGGCCTCTACCCCTCAGGGTCCTTGAGGCCGTCTGGAGGCTCCTTTCCTGGATGGAACGGATCCGCTCGTCTTTTGCAAGATTTGAGGGGAAGCAGCTGCCCCTCCATGCCGCTTCCCCCACCCTTTCTGCCCTCAGGTTGACGGGGCAGAGTGATGATGAGCCCAAACGGATCAAGAAGAGCAAGATGATCGCCAAGGCCTTCTCCAAGCGGCGCGAGCTGCTGCAGAACCCAGGCCAGGAGCTCTCCTTCAGCATGCACACTGTCTCCCACGACGGGCCTGTGGGTGAGCTTCCACCCCATTTCCACTTTCCTTCTAGGCTGGTGTGGCCTCATGGACTGTTTGGAAGGCTGTGAGGAATGGCTCCCTCCTCTCTCTCACACACTGGTTCTCCTCCAGTCCCCACCCTGCCCCCATCCCAGGCCACTCTCCCCTCTCTGTTCCTGCCCCTGGATCTTGCTTGCTGATGCTTTGGTTCCAAAGGACTCATCTCCCTCGCCTTCAGCCATCTTCTCCAGCTGTTCTCCTTGGGCTACGGGAAGTCAGGTTCCAGGGACTGGATTTCTGGCCTCTCGTGAGGCCCCTCTCTTCAGACTGGGAATGGGTAGAGATTGCTGTGTTCACTAGGGCGGGTTTTCTGTGCTAAGTCGAGTGGGAGCCATGGGTTGGGGGATGGTGAATGATGCTAAATAAGGGAGGAGCGGTCATTGTGGGGGCCTGGGCGGTCATGGTACCTTATCCTTTCCTTCCATCCCCACAGCGGGTTTGGCCTTTGACATCAATGAGCCCTCGGCCGATGTGTCCTCTGCCTGGGCCCAGCATGTCACCAAGATGGTGGCCCGGAGAGGAGCCATACTGCCCCAGGATGTGTCTGTCACCCCTGTGGCAACTCCAGGTATGGGGTTCCGGCTTCTGTAGGAAGGTGGGGGACGTAGAGGCTGGAGGTTCCTGGGACTGGAGTACCAGGGGCTGCCAGCAGGGGAGGGGAGGGAAAAGCCTTGGAGTATCTAAAGTGTGGGTTCCTGAGCTAAAAGAGTAGGGCCCCGAGGAGAAAAGGCATGATGTGGACAGAGTTAGGGTCCCAGGCTCACGTTCTCTCTCCCACTGTCAGTACCCCCAGAGGAAAAAGCCAACCTGTGGCTGGTTGAGGCAGAGATCTCCCCAGAGCTGGAGAAGCGCCTGGGCCGGAGGAAGAAGCGGAGGAAGAGGAAGAAGGAGGTGTGCCCGCTGGTGTCGCCCCCTGAGCTCCACCACCCCGCCCCGGGCCCTGCCCCTGCCTCCAGTGCTGTCCCTCGACTGCCCCAGCTGCCCCGGCAGAAGTGCCTGGTGGCTGCGGGTGCCTGGGGAGCTGGGGAAACCTACCGACAGGGAGCCTGGACCCTGGTCTCCAACCCCTTCTGCCCAGAGCCCAGCGCCGCAGCCCCCATGGCCTGGGCGCAGGGCCGACGGCAGGGGCTGGGGCCCATTCACTCCCGCACCAACCTGATGGAGGCAGAACTCATGGACGCAGACTCGGACTTCTGAGCCTGGAGAGCAGGACCTGGGACAAGAAGGAGGAACAAATACCGTTCGGAGGCTCTTCTTCCTGCCTGAGAGTGCTTCTCCAGGGTCTCCTTCCCGAGAACCTGAGGGCCCAGTGCCCTCCCAGGAGAGTTCAGTATGTCTGGCTCACGGCAGCAGGACTGTGGGAAAGAGCCCTGACATCTCCACGGACAGGCCTTACCCGGGGCGGGGCCCTGGAGCTCAGGGTCCTTGTTTCTGCCCCACCTGGCTGGCAGCGTCAGTCTCCAGCGGGGGTCATGGGGTATGCAGAGCTCGTGGTGGGCAGTAAAGGTGCAGGCAGGGGTGACGGTACTCAGAGTGGGCTGTGGTGACCAGCAAGGCAGGCTGCCCTTTTCGGTGCCACTGGGTGCCCTTCCCTGGCACCCTCAGACCAAAAGTGTTGCTTGTGTCATTAGCCCTTTGTCCATGGGAGGACAGAGCTCCTTTCCCCCTCTTCAGGGTGGTTGCGGGGCTGGGAGTGCTTACTCCCAAAGGGCCTGTAACCTTTCTTTATAAAAGTGTCCAGCTGGCTCCACTCCAGGCCACTAAGCCACCCTGGGTTTTCCTGCACCCTTCTTCCCCTTTCCCATTTCAGTTCAACCAGGCCAACCTCTTCCCGTTTCCCGTTTGTTGATTAGGACCCAGCATCGCAGCATTGTCTGTCCTGCCCCCAAACCCCACCCCTTTGCTGCTGGGCTCCATCTCCAGGTGAGAGATTGGTTCAGCTATGGAGCCTGGCGTGGCATAGAAGCAGTGAGTGACGGGGAGCCTCTGGGCCTCCAAGAGATGCATGTTATCTTTTCCTGTATCTGTCCAGTGGGGGATGGATCCTCTGACTTGAGGGGCCCCCCTGGGAAGCTGCTGACACTTCAGCCAGGCAGAAAAGCTTCCTTCAACTTCCACAACCAGTGGGTGAAGAAGTTCCCACCTCCCATAACCCCCATCCGAGGCCCCAGTTTCAAGAACCAGACAGCAGGAAGCCTTAGCAGCTGGCTGGGTTCCAGATCAGGGGGTAGGGATAGGGAGACAAAATATAAACAGTAAATAAAAGGTTTTTGTATAAACTCTTGATGTGCTTCTTTCCATAGGCCCCGTCTTGACCTGTTTACCTGGTGCTGATCTAATTTGTCTTCCACTTCCTCTGAAATCTATTCTGAAAGGCCAAGAGCTTGGGCTAATGAGGTCACAGCTGACAGATGTCAGGCTGATGTCAGCTTAATGTACTGGCTGTCCTTCCTGGCCAGTTGGTTCTATATAAGGACAAAAGCTCTGGCCACAGCTGCCTCACTGGGCATTGATCATAAGACGAATGAGCAAAGAACATGCAACTTGTCCCTGGAGTGGTGAATGGAAGCAAGTGTCCCCCTGCTGGGCAGTGTCGATGGGCATGGCTCCTCATAGCAATCCTGGGCCCCCCTCTGGGGACCTCTTGCCTCAACAAGGGATGTCTGTGGGACCAGGTGCGTTTGGATCCACAGATTCCTCCTTCGGGCAGTCAAAGGAATCCGGCTTCCCTGAGAGAAGGCTGCTAGCCTCACTTCCTCCAAAAAGATGTCAGTAGAAAACTGGAAACTAGGCTCAGGATCCTGTGGAAAGGAGATCTGCGTAGGAAAGGGATGGTACCCACAGACAACTCAGAGGGTATTGTGGAGTATTAACCATGCTTGCTTGGGGGCGTAGCTCAAGTGATGGGGACACAAGCAATTTGCCCAGAGCCAAATTCCAGGGGAAGAGGAAAGGGAACTAACACTGGTCATCTTCTAGGTACTTTACATGTGTGTAATGGTAAAAATAATACTGCTAATAACGGCTAATTCTTACTCAATGCTTGCTAGCTCTCTTCTAAGCCCTTCATATACCTAAGTGTATGAAGTGCATAAGGTGTATACATATACCTAAGTATATACCTTAGTGCAACAGACCTAAGAGGCACTGTTAACACCCCCAAGATACTGAGGCACAGAATGGTTCAACAGTTTGCCCAAGGGACTTCCCTGGTGGCACAGCGGTTAAGAATCCGCCTGCCAATGCAGGGGACACAGGTTCGAGCCCTCGTCCGGGAAGATCCCACATGCCATGGAGCAACTAAGCCTGTGCACCACAACTACTGAGCCTGTGCTCTAGAGCCCATGAGCCACAACTACTGAGCCCATGTGCCACAGCTACTGAAGCCCGTGCGCCTAGAGCCTCTGCTCCGCAGCAAGAGAAGCCACTGCAATGAGAAGCCTGCGCACCGCAGTGCAGAGTAGCCCCCACTCGCCGCAACTAGAGAAAGCCCGCATGCAGCAACGAAGACCCAATGCAGCCA